GATTATAGGTGTGAGCCACCGCGCCTGACCCCTAGTGCTTCTTAATGGCTGGTCACACCTCACTGCGCTCAAGGAGGTAAGATGTTCTCCTGGCGCCTGCTCTGTTGTAACTAAAGCGCATGTGTTAAACGTCTTGGTATGCGTTCCTGTAGAGTTCCTCTGTCAACTGAAAAGAGTTTGGGTAAAACTTTCAGTAAAGGTGGGGGGAGTTAAAGTTATGAGTGAAGCCTCTGAACCAATTCAATGTAGAGTTGTGAAAATGTGTGGCTGAGATTGATGCTTATCCAGTGAATGGTCTTAAATTGTGAGAGGAGATTCCTCTGTTCAGAGGACCGTCATGAGAAAAAAGTGCTAATGGGGCAAAATCCCTTAACGTTCACCACCAATAAATGGGTCAGAATATAGCCTGAATGCCTGTAGCCTCTGATGTCTAAGTTTCACCTTATAAATAACGTCCTATTCGTTGGCAATTCAAAAATTTAAAACTCAACAGCCCTGACTGCAGTATTACCAGATCTAGTCAGAGTGACTGATAACTGTCCCCCAAATCAATAGGTTGCTTGCCTGTCAAGTAAATCTTGGGACTATGCCAGTGAATTCACAATGTCCAATCCCTCTGGCAGCCAAAAGGAAGACATAAAACTGAAAACTAATGCCTGTCACAAAGTAAAGGGCTGTGTTTCTGATGTAGGAGCCACCACCGCCTTCCAGATCTGTAACTCCTGCCGAAGTCTGGCCTGTTCGTTTTGGAGAAGATATTGTTGCTCCACTGCTTTCTGGCTCCCATACGTTTTAAAATAAGAAACCTATGTTATGTTTAAATTAGAAAAATACAGAAATAATACCGAGTAGTAATCTTCATTTCCTTTAAGCTGAACTCTACAAAATAAACAGTACTTAAAATTTGTTGTACATAATTTCAAAAATGGTGGAATTAGAGTACTAACTGCTAATGTCTGGCCAGAGGACCAGAGAAGTCTCATTCTGCCGATAACCTAGGTTCTCTGGTGGATGTGGGGATTACTGAAAAAGATACATACATAGAGAAAACTGACAAGGCAGAGATCATCACAATTTATGGCAGGGCTCATACCACAGTGGGGGGAATCCCAGTAAACTGTATCAGAGGATGAGGCTCAGTTCAAGGCCTTAGGGTTTTTCT